GGATAAATGTCAATTTGAAAAATAGGGTTATCATATCCACAATTGGCGAGACAACTCTGACAGCTAGAGCAGATAGGGGATGCCCACAGGGAGGAGTATTATCACCCCTACTATGGGCCATTCTAATGGACGAACTGATCAAAAGGCTAACATCCAAAGGGTATTATTGCTTAGGATATGCCGACGACCTGGCGGTTATCGCTAGAGGTAGATTCGCAAGTACGGTCTCGGAGCTCACACAAATCGCTCTAAACATAATTGACAATTGGTGTAAAGAGGAGGAACTCACCGTGAACCCTCATAAAACCACTATAGTGAATTTCACGAAAAAGAGAGTACTGGAAGGATTAAAGTCACCAGTACTCAACGGGGTAGAAATTCCGTTCGCCCTAGAGGCAAAATACTTAGGAGTCATCTTTGACCATAAGTTAACATGGAATCAACACCTACAAAAAATTGTTCAAAAAAGTACAGTAGCCTTCAATCTGTGCAGACGAATGTGCGGGAAAAATTGGGGACTGCAACCAAAAATGACCACATGGCTCTATGCCAGCGTCATCAGGCCTATGATAGCATATGGGTCAGTAGTTTGGTGGCCAAAGACACAACAGGCTGGAGTGATTCGAAGGCTCAGTGCTATTCAAAGGCAAGCTTGCCTGAGTGCCACTGGTGCAATGAAAACCACTCCAACAGCCGCTTTAGAGGTCCTCTTGAACCTACCACCACTACAAATATATATTCAAGGCGAAGCCAGAGCAGTCGTGAGTAGATTGTCAAGGGGTCAAGCACCCATAAGCAACGCGCACGGTAAAGACTATAGAAAGCTATATGAAGAGTTGGAAAGCGACCCCATCATGGGAATGCCAACGGATGGCATAATTCCAAAATATAGCTTTGAAAAAACTTTTAAAATAAGTATAACGGACAGAGAGGCATGGAAGGAAGGACCTCCTATCAATGCAGACATTGCTGTCTATACGGACGGCTCCAAAACTGAGTTTGGATCAGGAGCCGGTATTTATGGGGCCAAGCCAAAGACAAGAATCTCACTGAGCTTAGGTAAATACGCGACGGTGTTTCAGGCAGAAATTATTGCAATACATCATTGCGTGAAAGAATTGATAAGGCAAGAGTTTAAAGGCAAAACCATTGCAATCTATTCAGATAGCCAGGCGGCAATCAAAGCAGTCAACTCTATGCAAGTTAACTCAAAACTAGTATGGGACTGCTTAGAAACCCTAAATGCACTGGGCAGTCAGAACAGACTGACTCTAGCATGGGTACCAGCACATACAGGGTACGAGGGCAATGAAGAGGCAGACTCACTTGCCCGAGCAGGAGCAAACAAAGCTCTGAATGGCCCAGAACCCTTCTGTGGTATTGCGAAAGCTATACAAAAGACTAGTATCAAATCATGGATGCAAACCAAATCTCAAGAATGGTGGAACAAATCGCCAGGAATGAGACAGGCAAAAGAGTTTATTAAAAAACCATCGCCAACATTCACAGAATATCTACTAAGCCAGAAACGAAGTTCAACTAGAATACTAGTGGGACTTCTCACAGGGCATTGTAGGCTCAACAAACACATGAGTACGATAGGTCTGACTGAAGAACTGCTGTGCAGGTTCTGTCAGGAAGAGGAGGAAACAGCAGTACACATACTTTGCCACTGTGAGGGCTTGTCAAGACTAAGGTTCCTTACGCTGGGTGAGGAAAAACCAGAAGCCCAGAGATACACAGGGGATCTGAAAGCTAGCCTATGGAGTCTCATAGAGAAGACGGGGCTAGCCGAAGAACTCTAATCGATTTTGAGGGCAGACACAATAGATCTGAAAAGGTCGCGGTGTGGAGGCAGATAGCCCGAAGGCCCCATTCTAAATCTAATCTAATCTAATCTAACCTATTTCCAACAAAATAGAAACAAACAAATTAAACATTCTCATTTTTGGATGTATGAGAAACTGATATTCATCATACAGGACGTGAAAAAATTCTGAATTGAGACAACATTATCACGAATCTGCGACTGATAAATACAGGTGTTGAGGGTTAATCTTCCTTCATCAAGCTGCAATTCACAAGGTGAAAAACCTGTGGACTGTGGATTCATGAACTATCGGATTCAGGAGCTCTGCGGATCTTGGTATACCTACTTAATTTGCTCATCTTGAGTGTTGTTCTGAACAGTAAGTCCGGAAAAGTCTCCCTATAATTCCCGCATCATGATATGCGCTCGGATGGATTGGATACAGGATGGCGCCTGCATCTTCCATGGTCTTCTTCCATATATCTGAGGTGTATCGAGTGCCTCTGTCATGCAGAATACGACGAGTCATGCCATGTTAGGGAAAATAATCTTTGAACATCTTGTTCAACATGGCTCGAGAATTAGCTTCGTTAAGTGAATTGAGAGTGACATATTCAGTGAATAAATTCACAATCACCAAAATGTAACATTCTTCACCACCAGTACCACGGCTTCGAATATGTGGCCCATATAGATCTCTGTTGCCATGATATATATCATCTTTTTCTTCAGGGGAAGTTTGCCCTTTGACAAATATATCATACCCTTTTATTTTCCGGTGCATGTTTGACCACCAGACTTTAGCCCTTACACTTACACTGAACTACAGTGACTCTATCAGTGAACGTATGAGCTCTGCCATCTATCGAAGGGTTGTGGAATCGACCCAGTCGAGCTTTTGAGATGGGGCAGGTAGCTGCGAAACGAAGATATATCGAAGTCCCTATAATGAAATCCATATGATGGCGCTGATAGCGATAGAGGAACCAAAGGTTGGTATAAATCTTTAGGTAGAATCGATGATTATTCGCAAAGGATCAGTACAGAAGAGAACCAAACATGATAAAACTATGCCAGATACCTAGAAGAACATAGAAGGCACTACTAACGGTAGGGTACTTACAGTGAAGAGTCACTATAAGGGCACTTCCATATTGCTGCCATCTACTGAGTAATGAATCATGTATATCCAAAACTGAAATGATTTAATCAATATCGATGAGAGAAGACTGTTAGCTAGTCCGAAGCCGAACAACAGTGACTCTCCGCACTTCCAATACGGACTTTTAGTAATCTAATATATAGTCAACAGATGGCCCTATACAAAGATCATGAGAATAGATTGACTCCCCCTCATGAGTGTGTATCGGAGGTGTGTATTGTATACAGGGTGTATCAAAATTGAACCGACAGCACTTGACAGGTGATAGCCCTCGTGATTTCATAATTATACTGAGGTCTAAAGGAGGTCTTCGGATAGTGTTTAGTTCTCGAGAGACAGGGTGTTGAAGTTGAGAAAGAAAATTGTTTTCTGCAATAACTAAATAATGATTAGATATCTCCATCCGAATTCGGTATAATTATGGTTTCACCGTTGAACGTATCATTTCTTGTCCTGAAATTATTTCCGGGCATTTTATCTAGTGCTCGGCAAACCACTCAAAGGTGAAACCATATACCTATATTTTGAATGCAAAATATTCAATAATTCTTCAACACGCTGTATCTCGAGAACTGAATATCTGAAGAGTTTATGCCCCTATCTCAGTAATTAGGTATGAAACGAGGGTCATCAGTTATCAAGCTTTGTGGGTTGAATTTCGAAACACCCTGTATAGACCATATACTAATTGTGATCTTTGCTTTGAGTAGGAAAATGTGTATTGAGGCCTAGTATTCTTCTTCGGTGTCTATCTTACACAGCAATAAAGCTCTCGAATTTTGAGGAAGCTCATTCGGGCGTATAATTTCAGTGGATACCAAGGGAGGAGGCAAGGAGACTAGGAACCATTTTCTTTATACTATATTTCTCTTCTCCAAACCTTTTTCAATACAAAGTGTCACTGACAAGCGGTTTTCAAACGCAGTGCCATTTTGGGGCAAATCATCAAAATAATACTACACGTATATATTGAAATTATACTCATATTTTCATTTTATAGAAACGAGGAGAAAAAATCCAAAAAATCTGTGATAATGATTATACCACCTCCTAACCTACAGACAGTACTTATTGCAAAATAAGTTGGGAGGATTGCTCAGTAGAAAATTCTCGTAACGGCATCCGCGTATTCAAGATACAGGATGTTGAAAAAAATATTTTGTATTGATACGTACACATTTTTACAATAAAGTCGGAACTATATTCTGGCAATTTTGTAATGAAATATTGTACGATCATGTTTTGAAAGCTGACACATCGCATGCATTTGTTTCCATACTTATATCTGAACGGTATACTCTCATGGATTTTATAATGTCCAAGATTACTCAGGTTTCGATACAGTTTATTAATCCAAATCCAACTGACAATATCATCAAAAGTTTATTATACAAAAACCTATCGCTGTCAAACATGGTTACCTAGCAAGTAACAGAACCAAGCTACTACTATAAACTGAACATTACATTCTTCCTTTCCTTAAACTGAAATATACCTATGAACATAAAAATCACAATACCAATCGATCTGGAGGCCTAATGGTACGCTTAGGACGACTTGAAAACATCGTAGTATTATGAGAACCAATAATAGTGCCACTACTAGAAGGTACTTCCATTGGATTGGAATTCTCCGATAACACGATGTCCCCAGCTGTTCCTCTTTATCTTGGATATCATTACCGTCATTGAAATCAACGTTACATGACAACATTTGATTAGCATGCCTTCGCCAAATTATGACCCCTCAAACCACAAATATGACATCTAAATTCCTTATAATTACAATCATTATCTTTATGATAACGATTTCCACATCTACCACAACCTTGGCGTCCATCCTGCTGCTCTCGTCTCTGCGAATTCCTCGGTTCATCCTGCTGCTCTCGTTGCCTCTGTGAGTATCTTGGTTCATTCTGATTCCTGGATATTGCCGTCTTCCTATTCCCATATCTTCCTAGCTGATACAGATCGACAAATTCTTTTTTGATGTGCAGATTATTTACGCCTTCTTCAATCCCAAATCCCGTCACGACAGATGAGCAATTTGCAGAGCTTTCTCTACTGTAACATCCACTTTTTCTTGAAGTAATTTATCTAATACAGGCCCAGCCTCCAAACCCGTAATAAATTTGTCTCTAAGAACTCTTTTCAGAAACGGGCCAAATTCACAATAAACTGCCAAGCCCTTATTGAGTCTTGCTAAATATTCTGAATATGATTCAGTTTTCCCTTTCTTTGCCGAATAAAAATTGAATCTTTCTGCTAGCACTAGTTTTTCTTGGCTGAAATATCCATCCAGTTGCTTGATAAGATCTTCATAAGCAGTCGTTTCAGCTTTTTCTGGTAACACCAGATCATCCAATAGTTTGAACGTCTCTTCCGACAGACCATTCAAAAGTACAGCTCTCTTCATCTCTGACTCTTTTATTCCATTCGCGAAAAAGAATTGTTCTAGCCTTTTCTTATGGACATACCAATTATTAATTTTTCCATCGAATATACAGGCTGATTTTAAAATGCGTGCATATATTCAAGACATATATATGAGAGAGTCTAACAAAAATTACTAAAATATTTGATATTTCCTAAGTCTTCACATTAACGAGAAATTTCATTTTGAAAATTGAACATAAAATGCTTCGAAATTCGAGTACGCCACTGGGAAGCAAGTGAAATCTGCGGAATCGTAGGGAATCCACAATTCGTCATTCACTAAAGTCAAAACAAGACAGTGATGCCAGATTGTTTCAGAGACGAATATCCTGATAAAAATTTGTCACAGAATGAACATGAATTGAAATAGGTTATGGAAACTAATAGAGGTGAATGTAATATGTACAGGAGCCTTATTTTTCAAAGTTTACTGAGAGAACTGTGGGGTGATTATCTCCATGGATCACGAGAGACGGAGAGAAACATGAGGGGAATGATAGAACGTCCCCCTTCCTTCAATTCGAAAATAAGGCCCCAGCGGGTAGATACAAAATTAGCGGACAATAAATAGGTACACAACATACACAAATTTGAAAATCGACTCACCTAGTAGATTTTCTCATACCTGCTCGAACAGCAAAACTCCCGAGAGCAAACAAATACTAATATCGAGTCCATTCCATCCAATTATTTTATTTTTTATTTTACGTTTACAATTATTTTACAAACCAGCCCACACAAACAAAACTATTATCATATGATCTGTCAACATCATTTCTCAAAACAGCAGTATCTGACTATCTGTGACCATAGATTTCCTCTTTGCTGTGACCTTTGACAGTACTAACTAGGATTGTTCGCGTTCTATTACTATTTCACGAAGATTGTTATGATATTACGATTTGTCATGAATCTATTACTATTTGCTATTAGCACCAAAATATGTTCCAATACTAAAAAATCAATTTCTGTGCTCAGCGGATAATTATGTTCCGTTCTATGTTCTATATTTATGTCAAAACTGTGATTAGTGCGATAGGATTTGACAAGAATGACATTCCGAATGTCAAATGTCAGATTTTTCGAGTCTATTACCTTTTGATACAAATCTGATACCTTTTTCCAAGGAAATCTATTACGAAAAAATCAGACCCAGGAACAACACTGACTAGTAAATGTAAAGTTTTGTTTCTGACAATTTGCTTGGAAAGTGGCGATGCATTTCTCAAACATTGAGCTGAATGATATGGTTCTTATGTCGGGTCGTTATTGTGCGGGGCCCATGAGACTCCTCGAATGACACGAAATTGTAGCGATGCAAGGAGGTGGAAGGAAGGGTCTAAAGAATTTTTCAGTAAAAGAACTTCTAAGGGGAGGTGTTAAGATATACGCTTTTCTAGCTTATGTGTACAAATCTTGGGTGAGTCCATTTTGAAGTTTTTGTATTATCTTTCTGAAATTCAAGACATTTTCTCGATTATACATTTTATTTAATATCTCCTAATTGTCATGTAGAGTGGCAACGTCGCTTCGTTCATCACGGTCGACTGCGGATCGCAAACGATAGTTGTGACAAAAGTAGAAATCTGGGCGGAAAAAGGGTATTTTGCCCCAAATCTATTTTGATCCTAATAATATTTTTAATAGTGCTATTCGGTAGTATACCTCAAGCTTTCTTAGTGTTTGAAATATATGCACTTATTTTAAAATCAGCCTGTATATGTTGAACGCCGATCATCGAACCCTCACTTGTCCCCGCTACTTCTTTATTTTCCGTCATTTTATTGATACGCCTGTTTATCCTCGTCGCCAATATAATGTCCAAGATTACTCAGGTTTCGATACAGTTTATTAATCCAAATCCAACTGACAATATCATCATAAGTTTATTATACAAAAACCTATCGCTGTCAAACATGGTTACCTAGCAAGTAACAGAACCAAGCTACTACTATTAACTGAACATCATAATACAGATTTGAAACAAACTCATGCAGTGTCAGCTTCCAAAATATATTCATGAACATTTTCATTATCATGTTGCTAGTAGTTTCGACATAATCGTAAAAAAAAGTATACAATTTTTTGTATATTTGGTACTTTGAAACGGTTGCCGTTACGGAATTTTTTTATCACGCAAATAACCCAAGTTGATTTGCATTGTTTTACCTATCCTACGAATATGCCACCTTTCTTTGAAACCTCCTATTGTATATGATTCACACGTCGGACAAAACTAATTTTCCAATACTGTGTTTGTGCATGGGAATTTTAACGAAGAGAGAAGAAAGCGACGTTGCCATACGCTTCGTATCGCGTTTACCCCATCCGAAGGGATTATCATTTGTCACACGTGCCACACTCAAGTAGGTGAGGCAACGACGATTGAACACGGTTTCTCTGAAGGAAAATGATTCTTGCCAGACGTGTATAATGGGATATGTCATTTATTCAACAGTTCTTGTGAGTTCTAACAAAAATTTTCTTTCATTTCCACTAAAGTAATATATTCATAATCATAACATAATGAATACTCTTTGTATTTCCTCTTCATTCTTTCCACAGGAGCTATAATGGTGGTAGTAAGCTGGGTCAGAATAAACAGTTGGGGCAGTGGGTACAAACTGGGTTGCATGTACTAGAGCAGCATGTACAAGTAAGGCAGAGTATACATTATGTACTTGGGAAGAGTGTACATTTTATACTGGGTGAGAGTGTGCAGCTGGAGCTGGATCCTAATATCTGATTTTCTTGTTGCCATGGCTTCACAAAAAATGTTTATATTCTCCCCACCAAGACAAACAAGTGATCATCTTGCATAATGCAAAAGAGATTATGAAATTTCACACGTCACACCAGCTAACAAATAAGTTACAAGATAAACAATAATATGAAATTTCATATTGATTAGCAAAAATTCCGAAGTATATGATTATGGAACAGATCATGATGAAAAATAAATTCACTATTCACTTAAGATGTCTCAATATTTATACCAGAAAAATTATTATGATTATTGCTTATTTATTATAATATTCAAGGAAATTGTTCGTCACATCCCCAATAAAAAAACAGAATTTTTGAATTCTTCATCGTATTCGATAATAAAAGAAGGTCATTATAAATATATGTATTCGCTCACAATAATGGCTACAACCCTAATTTTGTTGTTTAATTAAAAAATCTAATTAAATACTACACCTTCTGTTTACAGTAGAAAAATCCTATAAATATATTTCTACTCTTTTGTGAATGGGAATATATCTCAAAAAAATTTTATCATTTTTTACATTCTATAACAAGATATTTCTTCATTACCTAAACCAAGAAGCCATCTCGACGACCTTGATGGGTACGCACGTTGTTTCCCGTACATGAATGGGATTTCTTCTCGTACATTCCAAAAGATGAGGAAAATTTCGGCGTAGGTAAGTACAAATATACGCCTTGATGGTTATTGTTTTCATAAGAAATAAGAACGAATAGTAATTTTAACTGACATTATGACAAGGATATCTGGGATACTCGCTTTTTTACTTATATATATAGAATTGAATATCAGAATTCTGATCACCCTGCAGTATCTGTTTCGATTAAAGATCAGTATATAGTGATTCAAAAGTTGAAATAGGAAAATGAAAGCCATTTTCACCGATAATGAATAGCTTCGACACAGAAACTCCTAAAGTTATATATCTCTGTAATCATCGCAGCTAGTCCCCAAATGTGATACATTGATGAAATAAGCTCTTCAGGAAGAATCAAATAATGCAATGAAATACATCAGGATGTTCTATGCGAAAAATCAAAGTTTCTACAACTTTCTGGTATGAACCAGCAACTCTGCATTGCTGAAAATATTTTTTTTTATAATTGTGTGCGTGATTCACTCTATACTCGCACACCATTTGGTTTGGGGAGTGTCATATTTTACCGCAACGGTTTGTGAAAAATTTTCCCACACTAGTGCGGGATTTTTTTTTCTATACTAGTGCAGGAAAAACAATGATATGTCATTATCGCGAAATATAAGTGGTTCGTGATGAAATATGAAAGTTTGAGCTTGATCGTTGCAGTAAGTTTCGTCATCAGAACAATCCATCAAATTGCACTATTTATAATGAAAATAAAAAGTCCCCTTATATAGATTTTGATTGATCTGATGTGGAGAACAATTATTGTTGTCATGCCAATCAAAACACAATAGTATATTGTGCAACAAGTGGGAAAAGTTCAACTTTTCTCACGAGTGCAAAAGTTTGTGGCACGAGCCTGCAGGGCGAGTGATGCAAACGCACGAGTGAGAAAAGTGCTTATCCCCACATGTTGCACACTATACTTTTTCTACAACTGCACTTACTCGAAGAATCCGAGTAATTTAATAACTTATTGGTATTCATTTTATAATGCGGCACTATGCCACATTGAATATTGTGACCAAAGAGTAGACGCCTTTTCCTAGTTCCTCAAAGTATTTCAAAAAAGTACACTTTCCGAAAAAGATTTTATCTCTGTATTTTTTTAAATGCCATAAATTTTTCGTACCAATATGCCAATTTCCGGAAATAAATCCAACTTTCGCAGCTTTTTTCATTATCTCTGTTATATCGTCACATCTCCGTATATACATCATATATATTATTCATTATTCATTATGCATGAATTGTTGGAACAATATTTGATGGAAAATGCGATTTCTATCAAGAGCACTATGGAGAACTACCCTAAAGAATTTAAAAAACTTCTTCTGACAGTTGTGACAACTATTCAAAACTGAACAGTAGCCAAGTTTTGGTCGATTTCTGTTTATTCTCCATGGAAATGTATGTGATGTTGGCAAAGTGCCGTGAGAAAAAATATTTCTCACAGTATGGGCAATACATGGTTTTTAATCTAAGAAAGCTATGAGAAATGCGCTACTTTTCATAGCAGTAGTAGAAAAATTATTTTGTAATTGTCGGAGTGACACACACAATGGAT